AGTGATACTGACTCTTAATCTAACACATACAGTATTTATTTGAGCCAGGTACTCGTCTGGTCACTGTACCTGGATTCGATTGTTTAATTCACATTACCCTAATTTGTTTAATCATCTCTATGAGATGGCTATTGTTGGGGAAACCCAATTTACAGATGGGAAAACTGAGGCCGAGGCCATTTCCTGAAACTGAAATCTCTTACTCAGAGCATTTGACTTGCTAGTGGCTTCTTGGTACCTCTCTGGGCCTCATTTTCCTCATCCAAAAACTTGCTCACAAGGAGACAGCAAGGAACAGTTGTCGGGGAGAGGTCCCTGGAGATGAGTAGAGGGCTTGGTAGACTGCTAAGCATACCTCATTTTGATTCCCTGCCCTGGTCTGTAGGGAGCAGCTTCCTGAGTCAGCCTACATGCACCAGCTCTTGGGCCTCAACCTCCTCTTCCTGCTGTCCCAGAACCGGGTAGCTGAGTTTCACACAGAGTTGGAACGGCTGCCTGCCAAGGACATCCAAACCAATGTGTACATCAAGCACCCTGTTTCTCTTGAACAGGTGAGACCAGGGCTATGAGAGAAGGAGGGGAATGGGAGGGGGATGGAGAGGCTGGCCAAAGTGGGCGGTGCCTGGGCAGGCAACCATCCCATCAGGGAGGATGGCTGGAGGAGTGAGCGGGGGTTCAGCCACCTTTTCGCTCATTCATTCATTTGTCCAACAAATACTGAGCCCCAGCTAAGCGCCAGGTATTGTGGGAGGTCTTGGGACTGTGACGGGAACAAAACAGATCAAATCCCTCATCTCCTAGTGAGCAAGCAGATGATGAGTGAAAGGAATAAACAGCCTTTCTAGGCAGTCTGTCAGGTGTTGGCCTGCGACTGGAGAAAACTAGTGCAGGAAGGAAGGTGGTGAGTTGGGGCAGGGGTGACATTTTATATAGGGGGACGTGGAAGCCATGCTTGGTACAGTGGCGGGTCAGCAAAAAAGTGGGAGAACCCCAACGAGATGGATTGGCACCGTGGTGGTGGCAGTGGGCTCAAGCATAGCGACTATGAGGTTGGCACAGGACCAGGCAGTGTTTGGTTTTGTTGTGCATTAGGTGGCTATGAGTCGGAACCCACTTGATGGTACCTAGCAACAGCAAAAAGGACAGGGGTCCCTGAGAGATGCTATTTGAGAAAGACGTAAAAGAAATGGGTGAGGGGAGGCAGAGATGACCCAGGGAGAAGGCTCTTGAGGCAGAAATGGGTTGGTGTGTTTGAGGGACCGCGAAGAGGGTATGCAGGGCCCGGAAAGAGCCCTAGGACCTGGTAGTGTCTACAGCTGGAGTGTTAGGGGAAGGGTGACCTGGGAGAGGGTACTTCCAGCAGGCCAAACAGCTTGAGCAGAGGTATGAATGAATGAGCCTGGAGTAGATCCAGCCCTGTCTTCCTCCTGTGAGGCCAGTGAGGAAGCAGCTTAGGGCTGGCTTAGAGAGACAGACAGAAAAAAACAAAATCTGGAGGACTTCCTGGAGGATGCTATGCCATGGGTCTACATGAGCAGTGGTATGGCAAAGGGTGGTCTGGCTGAGTGGGGAGTATGGTGGGGTCTGATTGGGTACCCCCTGTGCTGCCTCTCCTTAACAATCTCTTCTTCCCCTTGCCTGGCCTGGGCAGTACCTGATGGAGGGCAGTTACAACAAGGTCTTCCTGGCCAAGGGCAACATCCCCGCTGAGAGCTACACCTTCTTCATCGATATCCTGCTTGACACTATCCGGTGCGTGGGAGCCAACAGCCCTTTGGGGTTGAGAAAGATCCTGGACTCTGGAGTCAGTTAGTCCCGGTCCCTGGGAATCTGGGGGAGGCTGGGTGCAATTCACCTCCATTCTGCTCTTCTGTGAGCTGCAACTGGCCAGTGGCCATGAGATTGTGGGTAGTGGCCTTCATCTCGTTGTGCTTAGATAATGAACATCCCTGACTGTGGCTGTGGTGCCCAGATAACGCTCCCTCTCCCGTCACGGCACTTAGGCAATTAGGCTCTGGGACCCTCTGTGTCCATTCTGCTACAGTGTGACCACCAAGTGTACCAGCCCTTCAGGGAGCTGTGGGTACAGGCAACATCTCCTGGGCACGTGGGTGCAGCCTACAAATCCTTTGTGGAGTAAAAGGGTGTCCAAGCAGTGGCAGAGCTGGTTTACTCCAACAAAGTGACAAAATGAAATGGCCTTCCATTCCTTGGTCGCCAAAGCCAAGCCCAGGGATGGGGTGGGCGTGTGGAGGGGTTTAGTGCATTTAGGTTGTTTTTTGTTTTTTTTAAATCATGAACTATTAACTCTCTAAGATGAACATAATGAACATTCACACACGAACCACTTGGCTTAAGAGAGAAATTCAGAAACAGATGGCATGTTGCTGCCCACTCAGGCTAACCCTCCCCCCTTTTAGGTGACTGGATCATTTGTCACGATGCCTCCTTAACAGGGATGCTGGGAACCGCCCCTCAGGAATCTTTGAAAGGGAGAAAAACAGTTGGCACTGAATCATCTCCGTCTCATGGCAGCCCAGTGTGTCCATAGAACTGGGCTCCGTTGTAATTTTACGGAAGTCTATCACCAGGCCTTTCATCCAAGGTGCTTTAGGGGGGTGAAGTTGGACCTGATCACTGGGTCAGCAGTCAAGTAGTCACCATTTGCAGTACCCAGGGACTCCCATTGAAGAAAGAAGGGGAGTTATATGAAGAGATCTCCTCACGCTGGGTTGTAGACAGCCCAGGATCCTTGTGGCTAGGATTAAGATTCTGAGATTGGGCTTGGAGAGTCCAACGAGATCTGGCTGTGGGTTCCACCGGAGCCTTGGTTGTTATCTATGGCCAAGTGACTTCCCCTGTCTTTCTGACCGTGACTTAGAGACAGGGGTCAGTAAGACGGGCAGGTAACTGTCAGGTCTAAGAAGTGGTCTGTTCCCCATAATGAGAGTCTCATCCTCTTCTTCCAGGGATGAAATTGCTGGGTGCATCGAGAAAGCCTATGAGAAGATCCTCTTCGCTGAGGCCACTCGGATCCTCTTCTTCAACACACCTAAAAAGATGACGGACTATGCCAAGAAGGTGGCTGGGGTGCAGGGAAAGGGCCGTGAAGCCGAGGGGTACTTTTGAGAGCAGCATTGTGGGGCGTCTTAGAGGGATACTGGAACTAGACTGCCTAGTTATGTGCCCTTGGAGAAGTCACTGAAGCTGTTGTTTGCTTCCCCGTAGAACAGAGTTATGGGGTGAGTTTCGCCCGGCACCTGAGACCAGGTGGGGGTGGATACTCGGCACAACATTGCCTCTTGTCCTTGTCCGAACCCCTTAGGGACTGCAGCTTTGTCCGCAGACTTTGTTCATTTGATCTGAGGGTTTGGATAGGAGCCGTGGCCCTGGAGATGCCAATACAGGGGGTGCTGTCACCCTGGTGCCCAAGGAGGCAAGAGGAAGGGGTGGAGTTTAAAGCTGATATTTATCAGTCACTACTCTGGGTACAAGTAGGTTGTGTTGGCAGCGTTTTAGAGCCACTAAGTCTTCACAGCAGACCCAGGAGGAGTGTATGATCAGTATCCCCATCTCACAGATGGAGAAACTGAGGCACCGAGAGGTGAAATCATTTGACCAGAGTTGGAGTAGAGTGGGATTGTTGAGAGAGGGCCCACCACGCTGCTAGTGCTGGCTCCAGGGGTGGAGAGTTGGGGGAGTCTGTGATCACCCTTATCCCTCCTTCCCCACAGCGAGGGTGGGTCTTGGGCCCCAACAACTACTACAGCTTTGCCAGCCAGCAGCAGAAGCCAGAGGATACCACCATCCCCTCCACGGAGCTGGCCAAACAGGTCATCGAGTACGCCCGGCAGTTGGAGATGATCGTCTGAGGCCACCGGGGAGGGTGGGACACAGGGCGTGCATTATTTAAAGCATCGACAGTGTGGGAGTTTCCGCTAATAAATGTTGATTGACAGTCTCTGAGGCCCTTGTCTCCCCAGGGTTGGATGGCTGGAGATGGAGATCCCACCATGGGGTCCTTATCTCTGAAGAACTTGCAAGTGTGGGGTCTTTGGGGAGGATCTGAGATCATATGCTCCGCTCCCTAAGGTTCTGCCTCTGTTGATGGGCCATTCCCCAGGTCTCAAACCCAGGTGCCACCAGGGACTGAAGGGTCCTATAAACAGGAGGACACAGACCTCTGAGAGGGGGCACTGTGCAGTCAGTGGGAATCCTGGGCCAGGGCACCAGACCCCCACACAGAGAGGTCAAAGGGACCCATTTAAAAAATACTGGCAATGGATTTGACGAATATTTACAATACAGTGACGTGCATACTGAGACCCATCTGTGAGCCACCAGTTGGAGGCCTCTGGAATGAAAGGCCTGGGCCTGCCTGCTTCCCAACCCTCCCTGAGTCTGGGGGACGGATGAAGCACCCCACCCCACCCCTAGCCTCAGTCTTGAAGTTCTCTGGAAGGCCCTCAAAGTACAAAATGACCATCTGGCTGAGCCATTTGTGGGCTGTGGGACTTTTCAATTTCCCCAGTTGTGAAATGGGAAGGAGCTCTGGTAGCATAGTAGTTACAAGTCAGGTTGCTAAACAATCATGGTCAGCAGTTCGAAACTACCAGCTGCTCCGTGGGAGAAAGATGAGGCGTTTTGCTCCCGTAAAGATTTACAGCCTCGGAAACTCTGTGCAGGGTCACTATGGGTCAGAATCAACTGCATGGCACACCACCACCATTCTGCTTTCCAAAGTAGTGTGTACTGAACACCTCGTGGCATTAAAAGGACTACGGCTGCCACACCCCTGTAGCCATCCACTGGGATGCCCGCGAATGGAAGCTTGGAGGTGTGGCTCGGGTTGCAGCCTCTGCTGTCCTGGTGGTAATCCATGGAAATCTCTGCCTACCCCTTACCCTTCTGCCCACCCTCCGCCCGTGACTGACAAGCAGTTTAGTCAGCTGGCTTGGTTCTTTTATTGATGAGAGCTGAGGGCGGTGAACTGGCAGTGCTCAGTTGGGATGAGTGGCCTGCTGGTCGTACTGCTCCAGCCCTGCCACCAAGGAGCCAGCCAGCTTGATGGTGGCCACCCAAGGCGGCTCTCTCAAGTGGTTAGTCGGTGTGCTCAGCCTGGGAGGGGAGGGGAAGGGGGAGTCAATAGAGTTTGGTTGTGTGGCCTGGTCCCACCCCCTCTAGGCTTCAGTTTCCTCTATAATGAGGCATTTGAAGGCCCCTTTCTGTTTATCCCATTGGTAGCTTAGGGCAAGGCTCTATCCACTTAATCTTAGCAAAGAGTGAGGATTGGCAGTAAGTCCCTCGAGAGGTCCCACAGAGCTCTAAGTGGTCCCCTTTAGCAGGTGCCCCAGTGATTAAGGGTCCTAAGACAAAGTGTGAGTGAGGCATGCTGTATCTCCCCAGGATCTGAGAACTCAAGAGGCATTAGTGCCCTCTGCTTGTCAGAGTTGCTAATGGTTGTAGATACATCAGGACTTTGAGGGGCTGGACAAGGACTTGCCCTGTCCAGTAAGGTTCTTGGAGGCCTACATTTACTTCCATTTGGTCCCAGGAAAACAACCATCCCAACTCCCTACTCTTTCCGTCTCCCTGCCCCCCAAGAACTTGGGACCAGCTTGCTTTCTTGATGGCTGGTGGATAATGTAAGGTCAAGAATCAGCTTGGAGGCCCAGATACCAAGGGGCTATCCTGTCCCCTGATCAGGACTCCTCTTGGTCCTTGCAGCCAAGCCAGAGGGTCAGGGTTAATGGGAGGGCAGGATGCCAAAGGGTTGAATAGGACTCTATCCTATAAGGTCTGGGGTTTAAAAAATTGAAAGGTATGCCCACCTCCCACACCCACATCCCCTCACCAAGCAGACACGTTTCGTGGCAGCCTGCGATGGCGTGGCTGGTGACGGCAGTAACATTTGCAGGGACAAGAAGACAGCACCTGGAAGGGCGGCCAGTGGTGCGCAGCGCCCGAGTTAGCCACCCCTGCAGCAGGAACCCCGTTACCACTACCACCCGCTCCACGGCCACTATCAGTCGTGTTGACAACGGTGCGTTCACGGGGGCCATTTCTAGGTGCGCCATTCTCTCGGGTTGCACCCCGGGCCGCGCGGGGGCCCTTGTTCCGGCGCGTACGGGTCTTGACGGGCGCCGGCATCGGCACCGGCACCAGCGGCGATGGCTCCCCTACGGTGGGAACTGGAGCCGGGGAAGGGGTCGTCGGGGCCGGGACTTGGTCGGCGGCCAAGGTGGGGGGCGGAGCAGGGACCTGGGTAGACTCCTGGGCAGACTCTGCAGCGCTGGGGCTTGGAGTGGGCAGGACCGCCACAGGTACCGGTGTTGGCTGAAGCTCTGGCGGTTGCGGTGTGGGCGGCGGCGTGGGCGGCGGCGTGGGCGGCGGCTTGGATGGTGGCTTGGAAGGTGGCGGCGGCGGCAACTCCTGCTGGTCTGGAGACCCGGGACACCCGGGCTCGTCATTGGTGGGCGCTGGGAAGATGAACATAGGCGGTACCAGCAGCGCGGGGGTGGGCCTCCGGGGCCGGGGAGCTGGATGCGTCTGCCTCGCTGGCGGTGGCGACGGTAGTGGCGGTGGCGGCAGCGGCGGCGGGGAACTCCAGGGTCCCGAGAGCGCTGCGGCGCGCCGTCGGGGCGGCCCGACACCTCCACAGGCCTCGCCGTTGAAACGGAAGTGGAGTTCTGGGTCATCTGGTGGGCTCACCCAGTCGAATTTGGGTTTGGAGCTTGGTAAGGTGGTGTAAGGTGGTGGTTGTAGGGTTCGCGCATGGGATGCAGGCGCTGAAGGCAGACAAGAACAGCCCTCGGCGTCTCCATCTCCACCTTCCGCTTCCGGAGACCCCCGAGGAGGGGTCTCTCCTGAGAGGCGGGGAGCCCCAGGAGCCAGCGGCCCCTGCTTCAGGACCTCAGCGTAAGAGATGGCTCCTGGGGTGACAGAGAAGAGTCCTCCCCCTCCGCCACTCCCGAACGAAGCTTTGGCCCCTAAGGAACCTGAGGCAGTGGCAGGGGGCAAAGGGGGCCCCGACTTGAAGGTGACTTTACAAAGCAGACTCAGGCCGGACTCGGAGGCGGGCCGGGCCATTTCGCCCCCACCCGCTTCAGGAGGCGCCCCTCCGCGGGTCCAGCTGGGGGACCGGCTCTCGCTACCCATTTGGCTTTCAGCGGTGGTCGCCGCAGGTGCGGCTAGAACGGGAGTAATTCTGCGGTCGGGGGGCTGCCGCTCAGGAGGTGGAGGTGGTGGCGGCTTCCGCGACTCCAAGGGCTTGGGAGATGAGGACGCGGCCGTCGTGGAGGGAGCGGGATCCTCTTGGGCTAGTTGCCGAGGTCGCGGCAGCAATGGGCGGAGGCTCAGTGGGTCGCCCTGGCCTCGGTGGCTCGCCTCCAGCAGGCCGCGAATCCGGGGCACTGGGGTGCCGGTGGGTTTTCGCCACTTAGACGGCGCAGGCAGCTGGGTCCCCACGGGGGTTGGGGGTGGTGTGGAGATCGCGGCTGCAGGCGCCTCCTCTGAAGGAGATGTCACTGGCGAGGGTAATTCTAAGGTCAGGGGCAGGGGTGAGGATGAGACCTGAGGCTCCGGGGGTACCAGGAGTCTTGGGGGTGCAGAGCTGCCAGGGAACCAGACGCCCAGTCCTCGAGCCAGGCGCATTGCCGGGGAGGACGGAGTCACCTCGGGCTCCAACAAGGACGTCCGGCGGGAGTCAGAGGCACGGTCCGAGGCCTGCTCTTTTCTGGAGCCGCCGCCCGCGGACGGCTCCGACTGCACATTCCCCATTTCTGACAGAGGTCGGGTGCTGTGGTCAGAAACATTCCATAAGTCAGTCGGTCCAGGGCAGCCAGGAGCTCTGGAGGCTGGTTAAGCTTGATCCTGACGGTAAGCACTGACCCAGCCCTTGTCCTCCAAGACCTCCAAGACCACTCAAGTCTTAGCCACTATCCTGCAACCCCCACTCACCCACCCCCGCTCCTCTGACCCTCGACATTCACATCCTCTGCCCTGTTTTGTTTTTTTTTAACTCTGCCCTCTTGCCTCAGTCTCTGTTCAGATACTTAATCCTCAACCCCTACCTTATGTCCCGGTCTCTAGTCTCTACACCCTTTGTTGGTCCCTCACTTTGGCCACACCCCAGGTCTCCAGGTTCCAAGACAAATTTTGCCCGCCTTCCGGTCAGTCACTCTAGCCACTCGTGTTGGTTGTGCCTAGTAGCTACAAGGAGCTCAGGTTTCTCTAACCACCTCCAGGCTCTCAAGCCCCGCCCCCACACTCTGGCCCCGCCCCCGATTGTCTGGGACCCAGGCCTTTCCTCCGTCTCCACTTCCTGCGTCCCACCTTTATCTACCAAATAGATTTTCGGGTCATTCTAATCTCTCAGGCCTCACCTCTAACCCTCTGATTATTTAGGTCTCACCCTTCTCCTAGACGGCAGCAAGCCCTCTAGCCTCCTATGTTCTTTTCCCTCGTCTAGAGTCACTCTCAACACTCTGGCTCCACCCCTCTTCCCAAGCCCCGCCCCGGCTTCATCTCCTCTTAGAAGGCCCAACTCCCCGACTTCTCCAGCCGACCAGTGTTCAGACGGCGGCCCCCTGAGTCCAGGGCAGGATAAGGAACGGCCGTAGCAGAAAATAACCGAAAAGAACGGGGGTGCGGGTGAAGGCAAGTGGGCGAGACAGTGAAGGCGGACCCCGAGATGTAGGCCCCGCCCCCTGGCTCGAGGCCCCGCCCACCTGATCTTCTTGGAAATACTCGGTTGTCTTCATCTCCGTGCCTAGGCCTTTTAGTATTAAGCCCCACCCCTTTAGCTCCTCCCCTTTAGAATGCCCCGCCACGGACCCGTTATTTATTTTCCCAAGACCCCGCCCAAGACAAACCCTGCTACGTTGCTCCTCCCTTTCGGACCTCTCATTTGGGCCGATCCTAAATCATTTACTTCTGAGTTTCGACCGTTTAAGACCCTCTTCCTCCTCGGGCTCGCGCCCGCTAGGAAAGCCCCTTCACCGGTGGTCCGCCCCTTCCATGACTCACACTGTGGTCCTTGCTTTCAGCATCTTCACACTCTACTTCCCTAGGCCCTTCGACCCCGCCCCTTTGTGAAGGCTCCCCTCCCGCCCCACCCCTTCTCGAACCCTGCCAGGCACCCAGCCCCTCCCATTTAGAACCCTCAGCATAGACCCCTGCCTCTTTAAAACCCTGAGTCCAGGACCTGCCGGGACCCTCTTCCCGCATCCCCATGGACCAATGGCGCGGGGATGTGGAAAAGTGGGGGATTCCTTCTTGGTCCTAGAAAAATGGGGGAGGGGGGGCTATTCGCGTTGCTGGAGCCGGTCTCTAGGACCCAGCGGGCAAATCCACCCGCCTCGCGTTCACCCCTCCCCCAGGCCGCCCCCTCCTCCTTCTATCCGTTTTCCAGGTTCCCCCTCCCTCCCCCTTCGACCCGGCTCCCAGTGCCCGTCTCCAGCGCCGCCGGAGCCAACGAGGTAGCCGGAGTGAAGAGGAAGAGAATGAGGCCGCGTCGCCGCCGCTCAGAGCCCGGCCGGAGCCTCCCAGGCAGGTGCCGAGGGGGGCGAGTGGGCGGGGGCGGACAGACCGCCTGCCCCGGTGAGGAGGCGGCTAAGACAGTGTTGTGCCTCCTGTTCACCAGGGCGACCCTTGGACCCTAGCTGAGAGGACAAGGAAGTGGAGGCCCCCAAATTGCGCGGCAGCCATTTGGGGGACAGTATCCATTTGGGGGCCTGGACTTCCTCTAAGGATGCCCCATTCATAAAATTCCATCCTGGACCCCCATCATTGAGCAACTCTAGAGACCACTCCTCCCGGGGTGGGTGGGTGGGGGGACACAGATATACGGTGAGTGTAGGGCACTTAGAAATCTCGCTGTCTCTTCCCAGCTAGGCCTGGGAAGACCCCTGCCCTCCTTTGCTACTTCACCTGTTGTCAGGGGGAGGCGGGCGGACAAAGGAAGCTACGTCACGTGACTGCTCATTCACAAATTCCCATCCCATTGAGAAAAGGGGGCTGGGGGCACAGCGACCGCCCCTTCCCCTCCCGAAGGCCAGAGAAAACCCGGTAGTCTGTAGGTGGGGGAGGGGGCTAGAGCTCGAAGCCTGAGTTGCTAAGGTTGGGACGCCAGGGTCCCTATGTTGAGTGGCAGTGAGGGACTGGACGCTAATCCTGATTTCTGGGTGGAGGGCTAGGTCTCCAGAGCTGGGGGCGGGGTAAAATGGTTCTGAAGGATGCTTGGGGGTGTGTGATCAATTTCCCCCCCTTCTTCCTACGCGATCTCCCTGCTTTCTCCTGGCTGGGGCCTGAGGGAGCAGGCTTGATTTTTGTGAATGAAACGCTCTCCGGATGTGCATCCGTCGTCTGCTTCTGGCTGCCTCTTCCTCCATTTCCTTTTCGGCCTCTCTCTCTCTGGCCATTTCTGGTTTTCTCCCTGCCCATCTCCCATTGCCGGCTGACTCAGTGAGCTTTCCATCCGGTCTCATTCATAAATCCGGGAAGGGGTGGGGGAAAAGAGAGCCTGGATGCGGAGGCAGTAAAGGGGGATCAGGATGGGGTTGGTGGGTCCTCAGCAAATACATATGCGCAGGCACCCAGTTGTGAGGGAGGGGGTCAGAATGGGTGGGGCTGTGTCAAGGGAGGAGAGAGAGATGGGTGGTAGGGGGAGAGAAGGAGAAGGCGATTTAGAAAATCCAGCTCATGGGGGACAAGATGGGCACGGGAGTAAAGAAATGGCATGGTAAAGAAAGGAGGTATGCTGAAAAGAGGTGGGCACAGGGAAGGAAGGTGGGCCCAGGGAGAAAAGGGCAGCAGGGAGAAGGTGGCCAAAGTGGCAGGCAAGAGTCCATGGCTAGGTGGACAGTTGATATCCATGTGAGAGATGGAGATGAGTGTTGGGGTACTGTTGGACTCACTGACATGTTGTCTCTGTCCCCCCACCCCCTTTCCAGGTACATGGTGCGGGTCCGAGCAGTGGTGATGGCCCGAGATGACTCCACTGGGGGCTGGCTGCCTGTGGGGGGCGGGGGCCTCAGCCAGGTGAGCGTATGTCAGGTCCGAGGGGCCAGGCCCGAGGGGGGGGCCCACCAGGGGCACTACGTCATCCACGGGGAGCGTCTCCGGGACCAGAAAGTGAGCCACCCTGGGGTGTGGGGTGTGGTGGGGGACTGGATTGGGGAAGCATGGGGATGGTGCTGGGTGTGTGTGTGTGTGTTTGTGGAGAGGTCAGGTGATCTAGTCTGGGAATCAAAAGCGGGGATGGGATGGAGTTTGGAAGGGATTATCTATGGGGAAGAAGTTGGAGTTTGGGGAATTAAATAGGTCCTGTCCACTGCCATTTCATCTCCTGCTGGACTATATCACTGATCTCTCAGCTCCTGCCCTTGCTGGCTCCCACCTCCCCCAGTCTCTTCTCACCCCAAGTGGCTGGGATCCTATAAACCCCTGTGCTTCTTTGGCTCAGAACCCTGTGGTCTACTCCTGCTCAGAGCCTTACCAGGCAGGCCCACCCCCACTGGCTCCTCCCTGCCCTAAGGATATGTAGGACCTTGGTCTAGACTGTTTGGATATGTCAAATTGGGTTGCGCATCCTAGATATGGATTCAGCAGGAAATTCTGAGTTATCTGGAATGATATTGACGTTTCCACTGGGGATGAAGTAGAGAGATTTAGATTGTTTGAAAAATGTGTGGGGCAGGGGTTGCGCTTCAGAGAAAAGACCAGTACCAACAATATGGGGGGATTTGAAATGGTGTGATGGGAAGATAAATCAGGGCATTAACCAGCATTTTAGGAGTTTACAATATTTGTGAGCAAGGTTTGGGGAGGATTCTTGGGGGTATCCGAAGGAGGGTTAGCAGTAATATTTTGAAACATTCAATAAAGTTTGGGGAGCAGTATTGAGTCAGAAGAGGACATAGTGGGTTATTTGAAGACACTTTGCAATAGGTTTTTGAGGCATTCAGTAATATTTGGGGGGAGGGGTCCCATAGGTGTGTGTCCTGGAGCCCTGGTGTGGTGCTGTAGGATAAGCACTGGATTGCTAATCAGAAAGTCGGTGGTTCCAACCCACTAGCTGCTCCCTGGAAACCCTACACAGTGTCCTTATGAGTGAGAACCAACTCAAAGGCACTTAACAACAACATAGACATGTTAGGAAAATGTAGATGCATTTCAAAGGGCTTGGAGGAAACATTGCAGTGTGAGAAGTGTGCTTAAGGAAATTGAGGAGTGATCTTTGGGTGTCCATTAAGATTCAGGGAAACATAGGATTGGGATATGAGGTTTGGGGGTATACAGAAAGTCGGGGCTGAAGGGAAGGCATAGGCATACATGGCTGACTGGAGGTGACCTAGCCCCCTTTGCCCCTTCCTGCCTCTTCAGATCACTTTGGAGTGTGTCCTGAAACCAGGCTTGATTTACAACAAGGTGAACCCCATCTTCCACCACTGGAGCCTGGGGGACTGCAAGTTTGGACTGACATTCCAGAGTCCTGCCGAGGCTGATGAGTTCCAGAAGAATCTGCTGGCTGTACTGGCCACACTGGGTCAAGGTGAGTAGCCCAGGCAGTGGATGCTGGGGGGTGGGAGGAGCAGGGGGACCCTAGGACTTACTCTCTGACTCTTTTCCTTGCCCCAGGCTCGCTCACTCCCTCTTCCTCCTCCTCCTCTTCCTCCTCCTCCCCTTCCCAGGACACAGCTGAGACCCCCTGCCCCCTGACGGTGAGTCTCCTGGGCTTACAGCTTGGCTGGGAGGGCAGGGACCCTTTCTTTCTTGATCCACTTACTGTGTACCAGGTACCACATCCTGGGAACACACACTTGGGCCCAAACGTATAAGTATCAATTTAATCCCAGTTATTCTGGTTTTTCAAGGAGCTCTAGTAGTATAGTGGTTATGAGTTGGGTTGCTAGCCTCAAGGTCAGCAATTCGAAACTACCAGCGGTTTGGTGGGAGAAAGTCAAGGCTTTCTGCTCCCGTAAAGATTTGCAGTCTCAGAAACCCTGTACAGGGTCGCTATGAGTCGGAACCGACTCCACAGTACACCACCACCACCATTCTCATTTTTCAGTTCTACTGTGATCCCCACATTCATTCAAGGGTATTTATTGAGTACCTCTGTGAATCAGATAGGAACCCTGGTAGAGTTTTGGGTTAGGCACTGGGCTACCCACAAGGCTGGTGGTTCAAACCATGGGAGCCAGATGAGCCTATCTGCTCCCGTAAATATTGACAACCTCAGCTATCCTCTATCACATCTCTGTGAGTCAAAATCGGCTCTATGGCAGCGAGTTTGTTTATTTTGGTTTGTGTACCAGCCCGTGTTTGAGGCTCTGGGAATACATCAATGAACAAAATAGTCTCTTTCCTCATAGAGCTTCGGTTTTACTGTGGGAAGGAAAAAAAAATTAGAAAGAAAGAAAAAAAGATAAACTCAAAGAATGAATGAAGATGAAAAAAAAAAGGATGAATAAATTCATGATAGCTCCATCCTTCCAGTTACTCAGACCACAAACCTCACAGTTGTCCTTGATGCCTCCTCTTGTTCCTTTGTTTTTTGTTTTGGTTTGTTTTTTAACACTCCTCATCTTAACTATCAACAAATATTGGCTCTGCTTTGAAAATGATCAGAATTTGCCTCTACCATTATCTCTCACCAGAACCACTCACTCTAGTAGCTTTGCTCTGTCTTCTCCCACCTCCCCAGCCACACCCTTTCCACTAAGCTGTCTCTGTTGTCCCCACTCCCCCACCCCCAGGTAGCCAGAGGATCCTATAAATAGCTGAGTCAGATCATCTCACTCAGGCTTAAAGGACAAAGTCCTCACAGTGACACATAAGATCCCAAACCATCTGGCCCCCTGTTACTCTCCCCCTCACTCACTCTGTTCCTGCCACACTGGCCTCACTCATGGTCCCTTTAGGACATGCCTGTCCCAGGGCCCGTGGAACTAACTGTTTCCTCTGCTTGGAACCCTCTTCCCTCCGATGTCCACATGGCTCATCTCCTTAGCTCCCAGAGGGCTTTCACAAATATCACCTTCTCAGTGGAGCCCTCCTTGAGCAAACTGTTGAAAATTGTGAGCCCCAGTACCTCTGATCCTATTCTAGTTTTTTATCTTCTAAGAGATTTTCCTTCAAAATGGACCCATTTTGCCTCTGTTGGTTTATTGTCCATCTTCCTATGGTAGAATGTCAGCCCCAAGAGGGCAAGCATCTTGGCTTTTTTATTACTGTATATTGGTGTCTAAAGCAGTGTCTAGCACATAGTAAGTGGTCAGTAAAATGTGCTGAATGAATTGTTTGCATGAATGAATGCACAAAATGTCTGGTTCAGTTTAGAACTTGGGAACAAATGGGAGTTGTGGACAACATCTGGGGGAACAAAGCTGAGTCCCTGGGGGAAAACGGGGGAATCCCTGAGTCATGGAGGATGGAGGTAGGAAGAGAGACAGTCTTTCTTTCCAGACTCCATCTTGAATCCTCACAATGGCTTTCATGGACCTGGCATAGCATGGGTTCTCAATGAATATTTTTCAAAAATAGTGAATGAATGAGGTGGAAATTATCCCCAAGTTACAGAAAGGAAATGAAGAGTCTCAGAAGTGATATCTTAGCTAGTAAGGGACAGAGCCTGGTTGAAATAGGAAGGCTGGTTTTGTAGGGTATTCCAGGTGGGTGGAACAGTCCCAATAAAAGTGTAGAGTTGAGAATGAGGCAGGAAGGAGACAGACTGGCCAAGGAAGAGGAGACCTGAGAAAGGAGAAGAATGATGGGATGTTCTGTAGGTTGGTGAGCTAAGCAGGTAAGAATAAACCAAAAACCAAATCCACTGCCCTCATGTCAAATTCCAACTCATAGCTCATGTGAACCTACGTTGTTGTTGTTGTTATATGCCGTGGAATCGGTTCCAACTCATAGAGACCCTGTACAGGGTTTCAGAGG